TGAGCTGACTGGATGGGTCCCTGCAGGGTATCGGCCGTTGCCCTCACGATGGTATCTGTAAGGTTCTTGGAAGCACACACAGAAGAGATTCCAGAAAATTAACGACAGCCTGTTGCAGACTCAAGATGTGAACAAACAATGAAGGTTCCTGCAACACATCCACACCAGAGGAGGACAGCCCAGGAATGAGCTTTGACCACCGGCAGCTAAACCAACCCCAGACCCACCAGGAGATCCAAGAGGTATGAGGAGTCCTTATGCAGGTGGGTGACAACTCAAAATCCCCAGGAAAAGCTACAGTCTGGTTCTCCTTACCTTTGATTTCACTAGCTTGGTGATACTCTCTTTCAGTGTCCCCTCAACCGCTGTGAGCTTGGCGGCAACAGTGTTACTCAGCTGGCCGGCGATAGGGTCCACGCTCTTGGAGATGCCTGGGGGCAACACAAACACCTCCAAGTTGCAGCTTTAAGCCCAGAGTCACGCTTCAAAATCCCCCAAAAAAGAAAACGAGAGTCAGAACTCTTCTCAAACTGATGCCACATGAGGCAACGCTCACAAGCTTGGGAAGCTACGGTTGGAGCAACTTTTTGCTAGGAAGGTAGTGCGGCTCTGGAAGTCACTGGAGAGGCTGTGGAATCTCCACCCTTGAAGGTTTTCAAAACTTTCCCCAAGGAAGTCATGGCTGACCTGACCTAGAACAGCGGGCAGCCCTGCTTCAAGAGGAGTGGTGGACACTACCGGCTACAGAAGGCTTTCCCACCAGCATTTCTTTCAAAGTTTCTTGACTTGGGTTGGTTCCAGCGAGTCAAGAAAGGGCAAAGACAAATTTAAGTCTGCTCCGGTCAAGTCTCCACATTTCCAAACTCGTCAGCCTCTTCTGCCTTCCTCCACCAAAGAGATTCCAGAAGTAAGGTAAGGTGTCCCCTCCAGAAACCTCATACTCCTTCCGAACCTCAACTCCTCAGATCATAGCGAGGCCCAAGATAATTCCAAGTGCCACAACCAGTCCTCACGTAACCTAACTCCTCCTTTCTATAGCACCAACGCTGTTACACAGGCTGAGGGAGCTGGGCTTGTTTAGTCTGGAGAAGAGGAGGCTGAGAGGAGACCTTATTGCTCTCTACAACTGCCTGAGAGTGTAGTGAGGTGGGGTCGGTCTCTTGTTCCAAGTAACAGCAATAGGACAAGAAGAAACGGCCTCAAGTTGCACCAGGGGAAGTTTAGATTGGACATTAGGAAAAATTTCTTTACTGAAAGAGAGGTGAGGCACTGGCACAGGCTGCCCAGGGCAGTGGTGGAGTCCTCATCCCTGGAAGTGTTAAAAAAATGAGTAGACGTGGCACTTGGGGACATGGTTTAGTGGCCATGGGGGTGTTCAGTTGACGGTTGGACTTGATGGTCTTGGACTGATGATTGATTGATGACTGACTTGATGATCTTAATGATTCTATGATCCCTACGGGGGCATAAGTGCAGGGATCCCCCTTCACAACCCGGGCAGCACCACTCACACTGGGGTAGGGTCTTCTTCATCTCCTCGCGAATGGTCCTCTCCAGGCGGTTACACACGGCGGCGGAAAGGGACTGAGTGAGCTGCTGAGACAGATGCTCCTGGAGCTGCCCGTTGCGCTGCTGTCCTTCCGTCAGCGCCCGGTCCAGCCTTCTCTCTAATGAGAACGAACGTTAAGGAGCACAAACAACAGATTTCCCCTCTGCCCTCAACGCTCCTGACCACAAAGAGGGACACTACCCTCAACTCCAGAGCTTCAGAGCAAGCAAATCTGCAGCTCTGAGGAACGAGGGGTCAAACAACGTTCCTGCGAACAACGGGGTGCTCTTAAATGATGGGGGTGAGAGAAGAGCTGTGGAAGGTGTGGGGCAGAAAAGCCAAACGGCTAAAAGAAGCTCAACACTAGCATTCCCTACGTATCGCGGGCTGACTTAGCTGTCCCGTGGACCACCCGGCATGGGATATCCCTTTGCTCTGTGTCCCCTCCCTGCTTCTTGCCCAGCCTCCTCGCCAGTGGAGCAGCATAAGAAACAGCATTAGCCTTGACAGGGTTTAGCTGTAGCAAAAACATCGTGTTATCGGAGTCAGTTTGGTCACAAAACCCAAACCACGCCACCAGACAAGCTGAAGGTTAACTCCATCCCAGCCAAAACAGAAACCAAGGAAGCCAACATCCATAAAAAGCAGGAAAAACATTCCTACGGGATGGAACTGGTGGAGATAAGTGACCCGGTGCACAGGAGCAAACCTCAGACTTGATAAAAGCTCGTCGTACCTCAGCAAGCAAGTGAGCTCTCTGAAGGATCCCTCACAAAAATATTGAGATGCATCTGCATCTTAAAAAAAACCCCAAAACCCAAAAATCAGACCAAACCAAACAAACCGAAGCCTCAACAAAATAAAACATGAAAAGACAATTCAGCTGCTGGCAAAAGACAGTGCAGATAGGGAAAAGATATTCTAGTATTATGATATAGCTCTGGACTCCAAAGTGCAGTAGAAAGCAACCCAAATTATGTAGGAAAACATCAGCCTGATGGTCAAAAGGGCAAAATCCAAGACTACTCAACAGAAAAGACAGAAATCATTGTTGTGTCGTACACGTTAAGAGTGGTTTCACACATAAACTGCCTAGAGCTGCTCGGTTTGGGGAACAGGACCGAGTTCAGCGCAGCAGAAGGTGCACAGGAACCGACTGCTCACAACACGACACAAATAATTGAAAACACCAAAAGAAAGTACTTTTCAGGTGACACATAAGGGACCTGTGGGCCACCAGACGTACACACGGGTACCGACAAGATCATTTCACATTCAGTTAAGCAGAGTAAGGCAGCCAAATGCTATTTCTGGTGCAAGCACTCCCTTGACTTCAGGAGGGAAGGATCATCCCCTAATTACTCTTGCACAACCAGCCACCGGCCGGTGTCGGGCACTAGGTGCACCTCTAGTCTGCTCCAGTGCTGCAGCACTTGCTCTCAGTGAGTAACTAGAAGCTGTAGTGGTGCTGCAGAAATATCAATTTTCCTCCGTTCCATTTCTGAGTTTCTTGCCCTTAGGAAAAGGACTGAGAGGAACTGAAACAGTTCTACTGCAGCCGGGCGATTTTACCGCACCTACAGCTCCTGAGATCCTCAAACCTTTCTCGGCCTTCCTCACGTCTGCCTCGCAGCCCTCCGCTCCTGACCCGCCCCGTTTGCCGAAAAGGATACGCTCCTGCTCCTGCTGGGAGTCAATCACTCTCTCCACGTGGCCCATGAGGGAGCTCTGAACGGCGTCAAGGTGATCCGTGAGTCTCTGCAGCAGCTCCATCTGGTTCTGACGCAGCTCGGAGAGCTCCCGCTGTTGGCTCCTCAGGATGCACATCAGCTCATCCTGGAACTCCAGCGTCACCTACGCACGTGGGAGAGGACAAGCGTTCGTTTCTAATGGGACCGGAGGTCAGTCAAGCTTTCTGCTGGGTATTAAGTCAAGCCCTGTGCCTAGGACTCAAGCGCAGACACATAAAGCAGAAAATGGGGCCACTTTAATGCCTATTTCTAACGCTTCTGTGGCAAGAAACACACTACTAAAGCAAGGTACACGGAATTCCTGCACGGAATTCATATATAGTTGCTTAGAATATCAACTGTTGAGATTCAAGACCACCTTCAAAGCTCTGGCATTTAAAAAAAATACCCACAAACCACAGATGAAAAAAATCCTGTTCACTTTTGGCTAGGTACTGAGAGAGCGCTTAGGGCTCTGAATGTAAGCAATTACCCCAAACACTTAGGAAAGAGCCGTGTAATCAGCAGAGGAAGAAGGAGAGTTCCACGAGCACTTTTTCAGCTCTTCCACTTCTTTATGAAAATATGAATTTATAGTTCATGGTCTCTTCACTTGCTCAAAACACCTAAAGGAGGCACACACTTCTCATCTGAGAGCATTTTCTGCCAGAATCTGAAGGCATAACCAGCTGAGACAAGAAATTCCAACAGGCCAGTCCCACCTTTACTTTGGCAGGGAATAGCTTAGGGTAGGGCTGAATTTTTTCTCGGGTTTTCCGTAAGACAGTAAAAAAAAAAAAAAAAAGAAAGCCGAAGCCTCCTGCCCTCGGGACAAACCGCGGAGCAGCTCTGACTCACCTGGTTGTTAGACGATCGCGGCGACTGGTTCACATCCCTGGAAATAAAAATTAAAAAAAATTTTAATAAAAGGAGTAATCCAATTATTTCAATTAACTGCTCTTACTATAAAAGTCTTCTGCCAAAACAGATCACACGTTTTACGGTTGTGTTAGATTTTATACTCTGGCTCCTACTTCTGTTTCGCGAGCGACATGAAGGTGATGAAATCCCAGCCCTCACAGCACCGTGACCCCATCGCTCACGTTATCCACAAGCCCCGAAGTTCCTTACAGACTGGTCCCTTCACAGGGAGAGGAGTTTGAGCCAAATCTTAATGAGGACTGTTACAAAGAACCGATTTTTCAGCTTTGTCCAAATTCAAAGCCAAAGGGAAGGCTTTGCCAAACAGCTTTTGAAGGTCTCCCAGTATCTTACAGAGAAAAAAAAACAAGTGCCTGTTTTGTTAAGTATAGAACTAATGAGCTTGAAATCATCTCGAATGATGTTGGCTCTCAGAGTGAAGAAACTAGTGATGCACTCCAGCAGAATAAAGAAAAACACTGAACTGAGCCACCAATATTGCATCAAAGTCGCAAACCTATGAATATTCAAGCACTACCAGAAGGAAAGTAAACATCTGTTGTTCCCAGACACCATCCATTCAGCAACTCTGAAAGGACTGGGGCAGGAAAAATGAAAGGCATTGCTGAGGCTCAGAGCTTCTGGGTGTCACAGTGCGAGACCGCAGCCAGAAACTTAACACCACAGCCCATCTTTGCTGTAATCTGCACAGGCAGAGATCCAAACCGCGGAGCGACGGGAACACAAGAGGAGAGAGCCGTGCGCGGAAGCTGCGCCGCTCTCCTCCGCCTTAACGTGGTCAGCTTCGTCTGATTTGCCACGGGTTGACTTTTCCAGTCATCTATTTTTCCTCAGGAGGTGTTCACGTAGGCACGTTTAGAAATGCACGAAGGCAGCGAGTGACAAACGACAGAGATCGTCGAACAAGGGCACCGCGCCAGCGCTTCGAAGGCAACCGGAGCGGAAGGTCACCTCACGTGTCACAGCCCTCACTGAAACCAGCAAACGGATCCAGCGTCCCCCCGCAACATTTTGTGCAATTTACCTCCCCCGTGAAGGGCTACACCACGTTGTGGCCCCGTGACCCATTTTCTGGCAAGCCCAGCGTACCCGTCATCTTTCTTGCCCTTGCGCTTTAGCTTAGGGGAGGCCCGAGGCGACGCCTTGGCTTTCCAATCCTTCACGGGCAGCCTCTGCGTAGATGCTTTGGCACCAAATCCACCAGACGTAGAAGCCAAGCTCGCGACTTCGTCATCATGGTCACTACGAAGGGAGAGGAAGGGGAGAGGATGTCACTGGTGGTACAGGAGAGCGTTGGGCTTCGCTAGCGTGGTCTGTGAATGAACCCAGAGTTGAGCTCGCCGGGCACACAGAATGTGCCCACGGAGCTTGAGGGTGGCTCAAGGGGGAGCAAGGCATCAAAAGCAAGAAACTAACTCCTGAGATACCCCTGCCAAGGCATGGAAACTGATAGAATCCTAGAATGTGTTGGGTTAGAAGGGACATCTAAAGCTCGTGTAGTCCTGCAGGGAGCAGGGACATCTTCAACTGAGCAGCCTGACCTAGTGGGGGATGTCCCTGCCCATGGTGGGGGGGCTGGAACGAGATGATCTTTAAGGTCCCTTCCAACCCTGACAATTCTGTGATTCTCTGAACCGGATCAGGTTGCTCAGAGCCCCATCAAGGCTGACCTTGAACGTCTCCAGGGATGGAGCCTCCACAACCTTTGTCAGGGTTTCACCACCCTCAGAGCAAAGAAATTCTTCCCAATGTCTAACCTAAATCTCCCCTGCTCCAGTCTAAAACCATTGCTCCTCGTCTTGTCGCTACATGCCCTTGTGAGCAGCCCCTC